GATGACTGCTATTCTTTGAGCTCTCATCTTCATATACTGCAAGGATAGAAAGATCAAAATAAGTATTGAGGTATGATCTCCTTTTAACAGTCAATTTGTTATGTTCTCCTTGGTATACTTCCGTTGTTTTTACTTAACAAGAGATTTTAGCCTAAGCTACAGATATGGAAGTAGGAAAGGTTTGACATGCCCTTAAGGCTTGTCTACTAAAATTAGCACAACAAAGTCAGTAAACCCATTTTCGAATTCAGCTCTGAAGAGGCTTCATCAATTAATCGTGAAAAAGAAAGTGTTGAAGCAAAGAGATTGGTTAATAGACGAAACTGACACGAAGTATTAATGCTTTTTGCAAGCAATGGGATGGAATCAACCTCCTCGTTAAACAGGCATATTGACACAACATACTCAAAAACAATGCTTCTTAACTCATTCAAATATTGAACTGAATCAGCATGTCTAAGATAATGAATAACACAAAATTTTTTGACGATGGAAAAAGATTTAATTGTTAAATGCTTACAAGGTGCAAGTACATTTCACCATCTGCCCGAAAGGTGCAACAAATTTCTGCAGGAACAAAAGCTGGACCATATTCAAAGCCCCGAACACCACTACCAGAGAAAGAAGATGCTATTTCCTGAAATTTTTAATAGAAAGTTCACAGGAGGACCTATGGTATTGAGGAATATAGTGTTAATTTAATTTAATGACTAAGAAAAAACTCAGAGTTGATTCCTTGCCTCAGAAATTCTTGGGATGGCACTTTTTGCAATAAAATGGCATAACTGAGCTACTACAAGAACAAGCCCAGCAGGAACTTTGTCACCTGGTATTCCCTCTATTGGATTTCGATCTTGACTGGCAGAGTTACTCTTTCCACAAAGCAAGAGGAAATAGTCATGAACTTTCCTGAAGAAATCTTGAAACGCTTCTTGGACCCAGTCCATTGCAAAACCTTTCAACGCCAGTAATAATTCAGAGTTTTCAATGAGAAGGTGATGGAAGTCCTGGATTCACAAATAAATTAACAGTAAGTGATGAAGCAGCAGAAACTCAGCAACTAAAATCATGTGCCATCACCTGGAGTAGAAGATAGATCAACACAACGGGCTAATTCAATACCAAAGTTAAATGAAATAAAAAGATTGATCTGCATACGTGACATTGAGCAACGACCGAAATGGACATCTAATATGAGTCATGATAGTTTATAAGTGAGATGGTTCTTTTAGAGTAATTCAGGAGAATAAGCCAAGCATTAGCTTATACTTTCTCTATGAGTTAGTAAATGACACCCTTGAGTGGCACAGATGTTAACATTAGAGGAGTATCTAGGAAAAGAAAGCAGTCAGAATACTAAAAAAAATATGTTCAAAAATTATTTGTAGTAGTTTGAATGATATGGATAGTAAGCTCTTGAAGAGTGTGTTTTATGATCTGTTGACCATTATTGTGAACTGCAAAGGGCCCCATATATTTAATAGTTGTTAGAATTTTAGAGTATGAGAAAAGTGGGGATATTTGTTTCCTTAAAGCAAAGGTGATGACAGAGTAACATCCTGGAGTTCTACATTTCACAGAGTCAATCTTGTAAAATACCAACATAATGTATTAAATTATCCCCACCTTTTCTGTTTGCAAATCTATGTTGCATATTTCACCATGTTGAATTCTTCGGAATCCTCAGAATCCTAACATTTTACACTTGAAAGGGAAGAACAGCCTTATTTGTCATCCTATAGTTTCCTTTGAAACAGAACACACAATACACACACTGGAAAGTGAAGAATCCCTAGAATTTTACTTTTAAGATAGCCAAAAGTGAGAGCTTTGTAAGGTTTAAAAAAAAAAGCATAGCGGGAATGTGAAATGCCACATCACATGATAAAAGTAATTCGTCTGGCACTCTTATCTTCTATCATTACCAATAAGACATCCATACTGCCTTGGATAACTGCCTTTTTGCTGGCCTCGAAGGCTGCCTTCAAAGGGTATACTTCCTCTGTTCCCTCCTTTTGCATAACTTGGATTTTTGAGAAAGCATCTACCAGAGAAGAAAAATTAAACAAATAAAATCATGCATAAGTATAGACTCTGAATTTGTTAAACTAACTTTATGTAGATGCTGGATTCATCTTACAAAAAAAGCAGACCTATAATCCAAATAATTGAGCTTCTTGACTTACTTTATATTGAAATGATTACTAACCTGAAATATCAAGTAAAAGATAACTTACTGCACTGGTGATATAATCTTTGACAGCAATAAGAGCAGCCTGAAAAGTGAAAACCATAAATTTATCAGCATATTATCCTCAATAAATACGAGTCACAAAGCAATCCAGATAGACACGCAGAGGTATTGCCATCTGTTTTAGTTGCAGAATCGACAATGACCTGTAGAGTAAAATCAGGAAGGGCAGCCCCAGGTAACACTTCATCAAGTAGGAGCACATCAGTCCAAATGACTCCTGTAAACAAATGAATATTAAAATTACATCCAAGTTAGAAGTTTTAAAGACGAAATTCCTCAGAAGAAATGTGTTTATGTTAAAAGAATGGTTCTAAAGATAATAAAGTAAAAATAGTAGGGATTGAAGACTGTCACAAATGCTATCAAACGGCTTGTCAGATGCTTCTCGAGAGCTAGTTCATGTACAAAATAACTAAATAAAAGGAAAAGGAGATTATGATGAAAGAAGGAAGTGTTTGACCTTATCATTCATACGGAAACGAGATCATTACCCTTCTTTCTTTTGTCAGTTACTAACATGGTTCAATACAGTTATGGAAGTAAAATGGTACCAAAAGAAGTTGCACACCTTCAGATACTGGAAGTAGCATTTTTGACACCTAGTTTACAACAAATGATGAGATACTGCAACCAAGTTAACTTACGAAGGATTGCCAGAATATCTGCAGAGCGGAGCTGCTTCTTAATATGTTGATAAGCGGCTTCAAATTCCCTACGATTTGGGCAAAACCATATAAATCATAAGCAAAAATATAAGAACTACACCCTAATTCAATCACAAGAGCAGGATTATCAAATAAAAATTGGGAATGAAAGAGCAGCCATACTTCATAACAAGGTCTTGTGCAAGTTTAAATAGCTGTGGTTCTGAATGCGAAAAGATAACTCTATAAGCACGAAGAGCTTCCGCAAATTCACGAATAGAAGCCTGAATGTGAGTAACATTTCAAAAATGTAATTTTAAATGTGATATACTATAAACACAAAATTAAAGAACATATTTTATTGTATGCCACAAAAGTAAAATAGCTGGGCGAGAAAATATGGGATCTGTGCCTCAATAAAATACTGAGAGAAATAATTACATCATGAATAAAATACTGAGTGAAACAATTACACATCGCTGTGACTTATTCACATGTACACACCATCCACAAGTGATCTATGAAAGGCAAATATTAATGCACACAAGTTTTTATTCCAACAATCAATATCTATCCATTTGTTGCTTTTTTACTTAAAAAAATTGGAAAAATTTAGGTTCATTCATTACTTCATGAGCAGCAGCAAAAGCTGAAACATCGACTTTTCCTTGGTTAGGAAGTTCATCATCTGCTGAAGCAGCTTTTAGGTCCTTGGATTCAAAATGCAAATCCAAAAGGAACTGTTCCAACTTTTCAAACAATTTAAGCTTCAGAGTCTCAACCTGTCAGAGAAGGGAAAACTATCAAAAAGTGAACAATATTATAGGAAAACAAACAACAGAGACATAAAATATTGTTTTCCACAACTGTGAATGGATGACTTTGACAAACAAAATTCAGGGATTACCCTGGGATGACCACTAACTCTCCACACTTAAAGTCTGCAAGGTGTATTCATCCTTGACTAGATACATATTTGCATCTATTTATAGATCATCAGAAAAAAAAAAGTAAGTGAAATACAAACCGGGAAATTTAACTGATTAAGAAGCATCACAGCCTCAGCTCTTGCTTGTATGGACTGGGAATCCGAAAATACCTTCCCCTGAAAACAATAGTAGAAAATATAGAAAATCATTCTCACTAATTATTAGCTTTTCATCGTAAAAGATACCAATCTCTGAGAAGGTTTAGTAGCACTTCTTGTGAAAAAGTACATAGAGTTGTTCATCTGTTCATTTGAAACAAGACTATAAAATTATGCAGCCATTTTATATCATTTATATGCTGACAGAGGATGGTAAAAACTCTATTGTCATCTATATCAACAGGATTCCAAGGTTCAGAGACAGAACACTAACAACCAGAAGGTTCCTATCTTCCTCTAAGCTGACATGAGGTTTTGGTTCATGAGTACTCTAATCCATGCCACACTTTGACTCACATGGTAAACAACTCCATCATTTGTGTTTGTAGAAACTGAAGCTCGCAAAATTGACAAAATAAATATCCACAAGTCTTGCTGTCTTCCATATTATGATCCATGACACGTATCTTTTTTATGCTTGGAGACCCTTAATTAAATTAAAGTTTGTATTTAGTCATTGGAACTTTGTTTCCTTCTTTTTTTTCTTCTTCTTTTTTTTTTTTGACAAGATTTTTTAACTGACATTCAGTCACATTGGTGTAGTACTTTTCATTTGAATCGCAATACATCACTACTCTTATCACAATCTCGGTTGATAATTATTTAGACTCTGATATCTGGATATAGTTCATCTACATAACTCTTTCAATAAGGATTCCATTTTTAATGATGCTCGCTTCAGTCACTGCCAAGCACTAAAACAGAATAGGACATGCCTGCAATTTTTTAATAATTCTCTTCACTGCTTCTTCTGATGCTCGCTTACAATCCTGGAAGGAAGAGTTCCCATATTTCTGGTAATAGCGACAAAGAATGGGTCAGAAAGAAGAAACTGTTATTGACAGAGTAGAGAGTTCTTCATTACTACCAATGGTGGGCTCAGAAAACGGGTAAATTCAAACTTTCCCATGCATTAAGAAGATATCGACCTTGAAAATTGGCATGGCTCCA